AACATGTATTTTCTTAGATTGAAAGTAGTTCGTAAAGTGGCGATAAGAGACAATAATTCTCAACATTTATTCATTCAGAAAGGTATTCAAAATAATGTGCGCTTTTCGAGGTGTTTTGTAAATCAGTGGTTCAAATAAAACAGAGAAACATGAAAGAAAACAAACAAAACAAAAATGAATCGATTATTTGTTGGGCTGTTTTCGATATATTGTATTCTAAATTACGATAAACATTTTAGGAATTTCTTTTTTGTGACCTGATTGTGAGTAATATGATGAATCATTTCATTAAATTTATTCCAAAATAAAGTTATTTTGCAGCATAACAAAGATTTTCGTAAACGTCATAAACGTAATGTTTTAGTTAATTTTCGGTGGTTTTTGTTAAGTTTCATTGAAAGGATAAGTACTAAAAATAATTAATATGTGTTTTTTTTCTATAATTACTAACAATAAGCACTGATGAAAGATTAAATTTAACATTCCTAGTTTTTTGAGTAGAAATATGTTTATGAATTTATAAATGTAGAACTATGTAGAATGTGGATAACATAGGAGGTTGCAACACTGCAAGGTTTAGATACACCGTAGAGAAATCTCAGGTGAATAAATAAGTGGCACTAAAAAGTTTTTTCAAATTTCCCGGAAAATGTCAAGAAAAATTTTAAATTTTCAACATTTTTTTTCGCAAAAAAACCTCATAGGCGTGTTTCTGGGGTTGAACTATACTACCAGTTAAAATATTTGCACTCATTTCTGGGACACCCTGTATATCAAACCTACATAGATAAAATGCAAATTTTCACCCATATAACATGGCGAGGATTATTATTGCTCGGTACACTGCAAGTTTCGTTTTTGTGCTCAAGTCATGATTGTAGAAAACCCTGTCTTTTAATTTCCAGAATGCTCTCGAGGCGCTGCTAATTCTGTGCTGAATTTCAAAGTCGATATTGACCTTTTCCGAAATCAAACTGCCGAGGTAATTGAATTCCGCTACATATTCTATTAGTTCTTCTCCGATTTTTATAGGATTGTTATGATTTTCCGGAAGAGTGCACATGATATTAGTTTTATCGATGTTCAGCTTAAGGCCAAAAGCCTCGTATGCTCAGGTTAAACACAGACAGTGTTCATAACTCGTAATTTTACGATACGCCGCTGTTTAAATCTCGGTGTAATACAGCCACGGACTTAATTAGAATTTGAACTACTGGTTCTGGAGATCTGGAGTGGCCGGCGAAAATTTGACAAAACAAGGATGGACCATGCTGTGTCGAGAATTAATACTGTGCCAAAGTTCAGAGAAATCTTATTGTACAAACTTTGGTCAGTTTGCTTGTTCCTTGCAACTGGTGTAAAGCTGAATTAGTATTGCGTTGACCGGTTTAGAGACGGGAGGTTTGTTTGTATTACAACTAACTTCTATACCATAAAATGTTTAAAATGTTTTTAAAGCAAAGATTTTGATATGCGGTTTTCTTGCATTCTGCATACGTGACCAGCCTATCTTAAGCGGGATTTTGTGACCATGACCTCAATACTCTCGCAGTTAGTTTTTTTAAGGACCAATACGTTTGCGACATGATGGAACCACCGGACTCTTAAGAGTTGTCTAAGGTGTCTCTGTTGCAACTTGTTTAATGCGTTCATGTGTCGGCGGTACGGCACCCAGGTTTCGCTCCCATATAACATGGTGGGGATTGTAATTGCTTGGTACACTGCAAGTTTTGTTTTTGTACTCAAGTCATGATTGTAGAAAACCCTGTCTTTTAATATCCAGAATGCTCTTGAGGCGCTACTAATCCTGTGCTGAATTTCAGAGTCAATATTGGCCTTTTCCGAAAAAGGTTTTTTTGGCCAAGGTAATTGAATTCCGCCACATGCTCCAATAGTTCTTCTCCGATTTGCTGTGATCTTCCGGGGAAGTGCACATTATTTTAGTATTAGTCGATAGCTTAAGGCCCATAGCCTCGTATGCCCAGGTATATGTGTTCAACATTTCTTGTAATTGTTGTACCGTGTTTGCAACTAGAGCGCAGTCGTCAGCGTATTGAAGTTCTGTGATAAATTTTGTACGTGTTTTTGCCCTGAGTCTTTTTATGTTGAACAGACCGCCGTCATATCTGTATCTAATGCCCAATCCTCTCTCCTGCAGTTTGCTGTCCACTATAATGGAGAGCGCTGCCATGAATATGTTGAATAGGAGAGGCGCTAGGACACATCCCTACCTAACTCCTGTATATATGTATGATGTGTATGTATGTATATATGTATGATGTGACACTCTAGACTTGTTGTGGTTATGGAGGCTTTTGCACACTGTAAGAAATTTGTTGGGTACTTCGAACTTTTTCATAATTGCCCAAAGCGCAGCTCTGTTCACAGAATCGAAGGCTTTTGTTAGATCGATGAATGCAACATAAAGTTCCGACTGCTCTTTTACTTTTCCATGTAGTTGACGGATGGAAAATATGGAATCGACGGTGCCGCGGTTGGTACGAAAACCCGTTTGCGATTCTGGAAGGATTTTTTTCTGAAATACATCCTAGTACATACTTTAGGTTTGCACTTGAACAAAATTTCCAAATTTTTTATTCTACGAGCTACAGATGCCCGACGCACTATTGCCGAATTCTGCATATAATAATTTACAGACTACATATAATAAGCAGCCTGTCTCTATGATTAATGTCTTTACTGTCAAATTCGCAGGCAGGCAGATTTGTTAGATTATCCTGCTTAAACAAATTAATGTATATTTCCCTTTCCCCGTTTCTTGTATCTTAAGAGAGCCGTAAGCTCTTAATCGAAATCATTAGGCTGTGTATTATTTAGAGGACGTTCTGCTCAATTAGGGAAGGAGGATTTCGATAATCTAGCAATGCATCGCTAGGAAGGGATTATCTGTTTACGTATGCATAACTTAATTGGATATGAGTATCATTTTGTTATTAAAGATACATTTATAATATAATTACAATCTTGATATGTAATTACATATATGAATTTTATTTTGATGCAGTTTTTTACATAAATGTATTTTTATTTTAAAAAAATATTTGTAACATAACATTTGCAACATGAGCATAACTTAATTGGGTATGAGCATCATTTTGTTATTAAATATAATCTATACTAATATATAAAATCCTTAAATAACTGACTCACTGATTAATCACGATCCTGCTCAAACCACTCAACGTAAGTAGCTCAATTTTGGCACACAGGTTGATTCTAGGGTGTAGAGGTTCGATAAGAAGGGATTTTTCAAAATTCCAGTTCCAAGGGGGTGAAACCTCCCCTTAAATATAACAATATTTTTTATTTACAAAACGGTCAAGTTTCCGCAAAAACGCTTAAACAGGTATATTTTATTTTGTTTTTTTACATATTTTAAGATTTTTTAAAAATGTATACAGGGTGTTTCAAAAAATCTGGTCATTGATTAATCACGATCCTGCTTAAAGCGCTTGACGTAAAAAGCTGATTTTTCGAAACGGATTGACTTTAGGGTGTAGACGTTCGATAAGAAGGGATTTTTTGAAACTCGAATTCTAAGGGGGTGAAACTATCCCTCAAATATTAAAATATTTTTTATTTAAAAACCGGTGAGTGCTTCGGAAAAACTCTTAAACACGTATATTTTATTTTGTTGTTTTTACATATTTTAAGATTTTTTAAAAATTTATATAGGGTGTTTCATAAAATATGAACCATTGAGTAATCACGATTCTGCTTAAACTGCTTGACGTTTAAAGCTTATTTTTGGCACTTTGGCTGACGGATTGACTTTGGGGTGTAGAGGTTCAATAAGGAGGGGTTTCTCGAATCTCAAATTCCAAGAGGGTGAAAACGCCCCTCAAATACTACAATATTTGTTATTTAAAAAACGGTAAGTCTTTTGGTAAAACGCTTGGACACGCATAATTTATTTGTTTTTTTTTACATATTTTGAATTTTTTTTTAAAAAATTATACAGGGTGTTCCAAAAAGTTGGGTAATTGATTAACCACGATTAAAAGCTTATTTTTGTTCGAAAGTCAAATTCCAACGAGATGAAACTACCCCTCAAATATTACCAACTTATATAATAATATCGCCATATTGTTTTTTCTCACGCTGACATAAATGTGAGAAAATTTTATCCAGTTTGTATGTTAATGGAAATTCTTACTTTGCTTTATCATCACCATTACAAGTGATTAATTCGACGCGAACAAAGTCGCGGGTACACGCTAGTGTATAATATAATTAAAATCTTGATAGATAATTACATATATAAATTTTATTTTGGTGTAGTTCTTTTAATAAACGTATTTTTATTTAAAAAAAATATTTGTACTATGTACAGGGTGTTCTATTTTCGTTTGTTTTATGGGTTTTCTCGTTTATGAATAGAGATACGAAGAAGCGATTTTCACATTACCGAGCTATTTTTTTATGAAATTAAAAATGTTACATACAGATTTATCTTAGTCTTAGCCCTCTTAGATTCTAAAATACAGCGCGCATTTGCTGAATAAGTTGTTATTTTTTTATCCCCTTGGTATTTTGATTTATCTTATAACTTCGTAAAATGGAGAAAACTAAAACCAGTACAGTTTTTTACGTAGAATTTAGTGGTGTAACTAGATTTCTCCTGGGAGCTGTTACTCTTTAAATCTAACCCAAATTTATGATTTTTAAATGGGATACCCTGTATATTATTTTTTAATTTTATTTGCCTTGTTATGAGCTTTCTAAAAATATCTATAAAACTATACTTAATGCGGTAAAACAAAAAAGATCCAACACTTTTTTCAACTATTTTATTTTGTAGATTTTCTTATAGTGCTAGTAGCGAAATACCCATATCATTTTTTTGAAGAGATGAATCCGTCACAGAGGTATATACATTTTTTAAACTAAATAAATTTACTTAAAATTTGGTACTGTTAAAAAATCTGTACTGTTCCTGAAAAAAAAATACAAACATATTCAATAATACTCCCACTTACCTTCCACCATGTGATAATGGCCGGCGGTCTGGACCCTCTGGATTTGCAGGTTATGTTGTACTTCTGTCCGGCGCTGAATTGGGGGTTGTTGCCAATAAGATCGACCTCTAGAGGCCTCAGGTACATGTCGATTTTCACCCTCACCACCAGAGGGGGCTGGCGTTTGCTGTTGTTGGCCTCGCAACTGTATACAGCCATCAGATGAGACCTGGACAGAATCAAATGCTTAGTCCTATTATACTGTGTAATAGGTATGAATAGGTAAGAATATTTGATTACTACTAATGCTGGGATTTCTTTAAATAAAGTTTGAAACGGTTCTAGAGGTTGACAAGGTTCCTTTTTCTGTCACTCAGTATATTATGTACCTACCTAGTTAATTTATCTAATTTTAGTACTCCATGTGATTTGGCACGTTCAGGGAAATACTGAGTTTCTTCGCTCACTAAAGTGTGATTTCTCCACCAAGTAACCTGCAACAAAAAGATAATAAAATTATACAGGATTGTTCACCACATACGACTCGGAGTATTGTAGCTAAACGATTATATTTTTGCAAATTGTAAGTTTTTGGGTTCGTTGAAGCACTATTAGAGCTACAATTTAAAAATCTTTTTACAAGATACAGAGTGTCCCAAATAAATAAAAAATATCAAAGTTGTATTTTTTAAAATGGAACACCCTGTATATTATTACATTTTTAGTTTCTACGATTAAAATAAAGGTAAATTTGATTAAGGTTTACCGCATTTTAATCTTACCGTTTTTGGAATATTTAGGATTTTGTCAAAATAAAGTAATAACTTTAATGTTTCATTTCTCTAGGCGTATTTAAGTTTTTAAAACCAAATGTTGTACTGAAGTATTTCTATTTACTAAATTTTGTGTTCCAATAATAAAAATTATACTACCTTATACAGAGTGTCTAAAAGTTTATTTTAAATAATTACTAACTTTAAACGGCAATAACTTGTTTAATTTAAATGGAACACTCTGTATGTTTTAGAAAAATCAGATGCACAATTTAATTGTCTATCAAATCGTATTATACCGTTTTTTCTCTATCTCTTCAAGTTTTCGAAGAAAATCAATTTTCTTGTAATTTAGACATCATCATTTAGAATCATTTATCAATATACCCATGGAATATTGACTTTTCAGATTATTTTTAAAGATGTAACAACTTTTTAAAGAGTACAGATACTAATATTCTCGATATAGTTCGTTTAATTCATTAAAAAAATTAAAAAAAAAACAGTTTAAATATTTGTTAAAGAGAACCAATTAATATGATTCCAATATTCAAACTGCATTTATTGACTGTTTGCGTTGGTTAATAATAATTGCTCCAAATACTAAAAAACTGTATTTTGTATGTGTATTCGACAGTGTGGTAAAAAGTAACACCTTAAAAATTTTATTTCAATTTTTGACGAATGCTTGTTTATAACAACAGAGACGTTCATTTTCATAACTTATTATTATATTGATTTCTGATTCAACTCCACATTTATTTAGAATAATTTATTAACTAACACAGGTTAAGTATGTAATTAATTAATATTTGAGAGGAAATAATGGTGGTATATTTAATTAATGGTGTACTCTTTTAAAGATTTAAATAGTTTTCTTTTTGTATACAAATGGGCTGTACATTTTGTACATTTGTTGCTTTAAAAACAATTTAAAATGTCAATATTCCATGGGTATATATTAATAAATAAGGTCTAAATTATAAGAAAACGCATTTTTACGAAAACTTGAAGGGGTAGGTAAAAAATGGTATAATACAATTTGATAGACAATTAAATTGTGCGTCTGACCAGTGCCTTCTATTAAAAGATCAGCCTACGGGCGAGATTTATGACGTCACGCTAGTTAGATATAACGGATTAATAAATATATTGTAGAATACATGGAAAACATAATTATTCCTCAGATTTTTGGTTTGTATTTTAAAAATGATATAGTTTAAATGAAATATACATAATATACAGTTAATAACTACAACATATATACCTATTTATAGTAATAAATACTTTGGCAAATAAACTATGAACCATACAAATGCAGCAAATGTTTTACAATGTACAAATAATGTATAGGTACATAAGATAATGGGTAAAATGTAAATATATTTTAAATTTTGGGGTTTGAAAATCGATCTAATTTAACAAAAACATTTAATATCTACTAATAGTGATGTATTATTATTTGCATTCACAAAATTTATATGTATATTTTGCAAGTATCAATGTTCGAAAAATTATATTTACAAATAATACAATATTATCTAAAAAAGGCGTCAGCGATGAATTTATATGTTAAATTATTCTAAAATTTTTGATTTTCTTAGGGATTTTTAGGTTCGGGAAAAACGCTGATTAAGTTTTCATTTGGGTTTCATTATTTTTATTTGGTTTAAAAAACGTTTCGGCTAACTATAGCCTTCACAGTGTTGTGTCATATGAGAAAAATCGTGTCAAATATAATCCAAAAAATTACATATACAATATAATTCACACCTCATAATGTTTACTGCAATTAATAAACTAATATAAACTTATCAAAAGATGACCACATATTTCTTAAAAATTATTATTCTTAACACTAAAATTATCTACATTGACTATATGGAGTACGCAGTAAACATTATGTGCGTGGTGTGAATATTTTATATGCAATTTTTGGATTATATTCGACACTATTTTTTTCATATGACACAACACTGATGGAGGCTATAATGTTAGCCGAACCGTTTTTTTTTTAAACCAAATAAAAATAATGAAAACCAAATGAAAAATCAATCAGTTTTTTTCCCGAACCTAAATTCCAAAAAATCAAAAATTTAGAATATTTAGAATCAAGGTTCAAGAATATCAAATTTTCCAAGATTGTAAAATTCTAGTTAATTATTTTATGTGTACAGTTATTTAGGGAATGTCATCGATGTTCATTTCCAAGCCAACTAGACGCCGATTTTTTTCGATGATACGGTATAATTCTTACGTAAAATGTAAATAACATTAGACCAATTAAAACAAAAGAAATATGATTTCTTAGTATTTTTAGTAACACCTTTATTCTTAAAACTTAATTTTGTATTATGCAAATATACCAATTTTATTGTTATTTTATTCATATTGTATTCAGCCATCACTTAAATATTTGATATTAATTTGGTATTATAAATAATCAATACTATTCATTAAAAATTACTGAACAAATATATGTTATGCTTAACATACATTATATATTATCAAACAAAACACATTCTTCTTTTTAACTGTATCAGTCTTGTCTTTACAAAAATCTTTTTAAAATTTGAACTCAAAATAATAATCTTTTTCATGATCTCTAATACACATATTCTTTATTTTTCCCTAGATCATAATACCTACTTACGTGTTTGAATCTATCGAAGCTGAACCAGCAACACTTGGAGTGGAGATTCCACAATATGAATAAAATAAACATAATTGTCCAGTTTTCATTAATACCATCATGGGAGAATATTATTTTTAAATTTATTAAAGATATTTTCAATAAAATTCTCTTGATTTATAACTCAACCCACTTTTCTTGCTCTTCCGGACACTTTAGGCTGCCTAGTATAATAACTATCCTTTCCACCAGGAACACAACAAAGATGAGGCATAGCACCAGAAACACACTCCACTTAAGCTTTATTGATGAATTGTTAGAGTCTTAAAAGACACACACAAAAATCACGATAAGTAAAAAATGTATGGGCACTTTTAGGTTAAATCACTTACACAACGTGTAATTTTTAAAATTTCTATTTTTTTATGCGAAACCGAGAGTGACCATATATCTGGTAGTAGTTTATGTCACTTCAACACCAAAATAATTAGTTTTTTGCACTACAATAATAAATAATACCAAAAATCAAAGAGTTAAAACCAAAAATCAACCGACAAAATATGAAACAGAATCTAACCCAACTGAACCCAATATCTAAGTATGTACAGCTGATGAAGTAAACAAAAGTCCGCCCGTAGGCTGATCTTTTAATAGAAGGCACTGGTCTGACTCTCCTAAAATATACAGTATGTTCCATTTAAATTAAACAAGTTATTGTTGTTTAAAGCTAGAGATTATTTAAAATAAATTTTTAGACATTTTGTATGAAGTAGTATCATTTTTACCCTGTAGAGGGTGTCTCAGAAATAAGTGCAAATATTTTAACTGGTAGTATAGTTCGACCCCAGAAACACGCCCGAAGGTTTTTTGTTTCGAAAAAAATGTTGAAAATTTTATTTTTCTTGACATTTTCTGTAATATATTGAGAAACTTTTGAGTGCCGCTTGTTCAGTTTCGGGAAATTTAATTATAGTACTTTGGTAGAATTTAGATTACAGGCGGCGCCGGCGGCTCTCAAAATGTTGCCATTATTTTTAAAATTTTCAAAGTTATATAACTCGGTTATTATAAATTTATTTTAAAAATGGCAAAGAGAAAATATGTTTCTTTTGGCCAGATCTACCACTCTTTAAAACTTTTTTGCACTTATTTCTGGACACATTGCCCAAGTAGCATCTATCTGACTTCGAACTAAATCTGACCTGAAGCGACGTCAGACTTTGTGCAAATTTAGGTCGGGTGCTGGTGATACGACTGGTGACGTCGCTTTCCTATTAAAAGCGACATCGTTGGATCCGAGTCGGTAAATCCAACGATCTGTCGACGTACAAAATAACAACGTACCATTTTCATTAATTTCCCAACGTCGTTCCAACGTTGGCTTGCACGACGTACCTATACTTATACCTATACTTATACCTATACCTATACCTATACTTGAACTAGCCCGACGTCTACTCGTTGTCCGAATGGGATACGTCTCACTGATAATCCCTAAAGTAACGTCCAATTATATTTTGTTGTATTTTATGTTCATATATTTAACCTGATTTACGTATCTCTATTTACGTCCGTAAATAAAACTCATTAAGTAGCATTTGCGGCCTAATAAACATCATGAACATAACCTAATAAAAAGTTTTTGTAAACAAACTTAATTTTTTTTATTATGCCTAAAAAAACACTAAAAAGGCATTTAGACATTCATCTACATTTTACAGAAAGAGGTCGAGGCTTTTGCAAAATAATAATAGTAGTAGTGATGTCTTCCCTCCACCCACGAATGCTTTTTATCCGGAAGAGATGCTGCATTACACTGGTGCATCTCAATTTCATTTTTTAGCTTAGATAACCAGTAGACCCCATCCTCCCCCCACATGTGAGGTACTGGTTCCAATTCTTTTAAATTTTGTATATACTATCTTAAAAAAGTGGCTGCCCATTGTTTTAAAGAGAAAACAAAAACTAAAATATAGTTGCACAAATCCACAAATCACTGATATGCAAAGTGAGGTTACGTGGCGTACGTTGGAATTATATACGTCATAATACGATTGCCGGTCGTCCGGTTTGATGACTTCGGTCGTGT